GCTTCAGAAAAATGTAAATATGATCAGCTGCACACTGAAAGAAGTCTAATACCAAAGTACCTACATACACATCAGCAGTGGTGTGTAGTAGGGCATATGCATGTGAGTATCATGAGAGTAAAATATGTCTGTATGCCTATATTTGTGTAGATTAGTTTACCTGTTGCACAACCTGTTGTACTGAAGCAGAATGAGGATAAAAGGAAACTGAGATGAGATGATGAGATGAGATGAGATGAGATGAGATGAGATGAGATGAGATGAGATGAGATGAGATGAGATGAGATGAGATGAGATGAGATGAGGGATAGAGAGACTGCTCAGAAAGGTTCTCGTGACAAGGGCGAAGACAACAGAGGCTTCAGTCTCTCTACAAGTGTCCAAGCCAGTGTCACAAAGAGGAGTACCACAGACTCAATGCCTTCCCTGAGGGAGGAACTGCAAGGAGCTGGGCTGCCAGGGATCATCAGAGTAGCCTAAGGCTGATGGGAGTGAAGAAGGACAGCCAGAGCACAGCGAATTGGAGATGGAGAGGTAGGAGTGAGAGGGCAGATCACCAGTCCTTGAAGAAACATCTTGGCAAGCAAGTCCCAGACTGGTGTTAATGGCTTAGCTCCAATGTCCATGAAAGTATGTAAATAATTCCTGAATAAGGAATTCCCTGAAGTAGGTAACCATGAAGGCAGCCAAGTGCTGAACTGAAGTGCATGCTTTGTTCAGAGGCACAGTGGCTATTTAAGCCTTTCTTCCCTTCTGCCCTACAGCATCATTACAAATTAGATTCCTTATCCTAAAACTGCAACAATAAAAGGCTTTGCTTTGCTTTTCATCCCAAAGAAGATGCAGAGAAATGGGTCATGACACCTTCAGCTGCAGAGCTAATCCATCATAATGCACTGTAGCTCCTACAAACTGCTGCCCCTGGCAGATAATGGCAAGCGTTTCCAATTGTTCCCAGATGACTAATACGTAGCAATGGTTTGTAACCTGCCTACGCTGGACCACTACAGCTGCTCCACTGAGTACTTTGCAATATTGATGGATGCCCCTTTTGACCCAGAACAGTGAACATGTTTAATAGAGGAGTATTGCCAACAAAATCATTCCCTTCCCTTTTTTTTTCTCCACATCCTCAATTCAAAGGTCAGAAGTAAAATCAAGCTCTATGAAACCTGTCTTTTTTCCTCATTTTAGGAAGAGATATTTGTGCTTTCATCTGACAACTCCGTTGAAATATTCTGTTCTATGCCAATAGAAAGGATGGTTCTGCCTAATAACAGGAAGTACACAAGTGAAATGACTCACACACCCTTCCCAGAAAGTATGTAAGTTTGCTTTGTGATGGAGTACACATCTCCTGATTTGTCTGTCCCAAATCTAAGATCTATTTATTCTCTGAAAAATGATGGCATAGTGTTTATATTTTTAGGAGATCCTTCTTAATTTAATCTTTAAGAAATCCACAACGGCACAGAAAATAGCCAACCATTATTGACACTTGACACTGTGTTAGTCATAGTAATGTCTTCCTCTCGTGGGTGAACACAATTTCATTTTCAAGTTTTCCCAAATAAGCCTTCAAAATTATTTACAACAAAACAAACACTCCAAATACTAAAGTATGTCTGTGTGTGCATACATGTATTGGTGTATATACTTATGTTTACATATGAGTTATGGGCACCTCAAGAGCCCAATCCATGGACTTTTGAAATCTGCATCAATCTTCCATCACATTCCAGCAGATGAAGTCGAACCTCTGCTTTGTTATTCATTCTTCCCTCTTTAGAAGCATATTACCTATTAGTACTGAATTTCCCTCATCTTCTATGTTCCTTTTCAGCTTCCCTTCCACATTACTTGCCCTTGGTCTTGGTAACAGTATTCTCACTTGTCTTTTGCTCACTCAATAATTTTAAGACTGAAGGGACTTTTAAATTGTGTGGTCTTATCTTCCACATTACCCAATCCAGAAAAACCTCACTCAGGTATTTTTACAAGGGACATTGTGCCTTACATTTGACCAAAATTTTATCCAATAAGCACTCTTTCATAACCCAAGAATGTCAGCAAGGTCAAAGAATTCACCATAGCCTTTCTGTGATAGTGTCTTTCGGGTGTCTGTATTTTAGAACTGAAAGGGAATACTTACCTCCATCCTGCTCCTTCCTACCTTCACTTTCTGTCAGTATTTAATGATTTTTGTCCAACATTTTTTTAATATTTGTAGCCTGTACTTAACATTGTTTTGTTATATGCAACTATGTGTATTTCAGGAAACCTATCTGTAGCACGGAAATATAAGACTTTCTGCCAATACTGAAAATTCAAGAAAGAGGCCCCATTATGAGGAGGGGAACCTATCCTATGGTACTCTGTACTCAAATCATTCTCATACTCTCTTCTAGGGAACAAGATATCAAGGCATCTAATCATTTTGTAAGCAGCATAAGAGGAGCAAATTAAAGCAAAGCTTGAGCCAGGTAGGCACTCACCCAACTTCATGAATGGTTGAGAAAAAATAGCTGGACAACTGTTCATTGATTTCCAGTAATTAAGACAGCTGAATTTCCAGTTGCTGTAATTCAACATAGCACTGCAGCCTCCAGAAAAAAAGAATTCACCTGCTCACTCTTAATGGCACAATTTTGAAGTTTGACCTCCCATTCCTCCTCAGGCACATTTTTATTTCAAGGTGTCCATAAAATACTTTTACCAAGACGCATTAAATACTACACATAAACAGAAAATATAATCTGAAAAATATAAGGAGAACAGAATGTAGCAGCTCTACAGAAAGTGAGGCCAGGCTTACAGTGAATATACTGAGCATGATTCCATTAATTTCTATAGGGAAAAAAAATCATACAGGCATTCAGAAACATGGCTAGAACCAAGATAAACTTTGAATGCACCCTTGTCCTCTGGGAGCCTGTGTACAGTGTTGCATCATAAGATTTGAACAGAACTGCTTAAAACAACCCAGAGAATCACTGAGATTAATCCAGTGAGGAAGAAGAGAATTAACTGGGGGTAATTTCACTGAGGGACTTAGTCTCCAGCAAGGCAAAGTGTAAAGAGTAAAAAGGAATCGTGTACTCTAAAGTTGCACAAAATAGGACAAAAAGTAACAACCTTTATGCAAAGAAAAGAAAATCCAGACTACATTAGTGTAAATCCTGTTGAGGGAAAACAATTGGCACAGATTACCTGAAGATGATACACATGTCCATCACTGGAGGTTTTAGTAGACCAAACAAACACCTGCCAGAATGGTGTGGGTGCATTAAATCCTGCCTCAAGCAGAGACATGGAGTGATGACCCCTTTAGTCCTTTCACCTCTGCTCTATACATAACTGGAATCAAAAATCAGCTAAGGAAGAAATACTGAAGTCAACCACACTTACTCTCCCCAGTGAGCTTCAGATCATATTTGCTTGAATATGTCTGTATGCTTGTACAGCAAAACCCTTTTGTACAGAAAACCTATAAAGCACTTCACATGGTGGCAAAATACATCTGCAAATGCAAATAAAAGTAATATGTGGAGAAAGATTATAATATAGCCCCAAGGTATCATCTGGAGTTCTATCTACTTAGTTTATTGACAAAAGTTGAGCTACTCTAAATTGTCATTAAAACTTCTTGTGATCTTAACTGCAAATTAAGCTGTGTTCTTACAATTTGGAATATCGTTTTCAATCATTAAGATTCTGGAGCTGAAATTTTAATGTGCGTTTTTTGATGGTTCACAGGGCAAACCACCATAGCTGTCTTGCTACTCTGTCACTATTCCTAAGGAAAATTTAAAAATCAGTGGGAAGATACAAGGACTGATGAAGAAGGAGATTAACTAAGCACAGAACTATGCAAAATAGATTCCATCACTTAGGAAACGCAGAAAGAGTGAGAACAAATTCATTGTAACTCGGAAAATCTATTTCCTTCCAGATTCAGAAACTGATTTAGCTCTACTGCAAATACAGTGTTGACACACAACATATGAAACTGTGTCCTGCTGATTTTATGTGGATTCACTTAAGAAATGCATTTAGCCTACTGGTGGTAATCACAAGTCATTCTACAGTGTCATCTCCCAGATAGCTTTACTTAAATATGCTTCATCGATTTTGCCCTTTTTCAGCAAGATGAACCAGTGATAGCTCTGTAAAAGAGCAGAGAAAGCCATGTAAAAATAACTGCCAGCATTAGACAACACATCAGCAGGACTAAGACAAAGCCACAGGGCTGGTTTTATCAGTCTGCATACATTCCCTTGTTTTTTAGTAGTAGCAGTGAGACTATTGCTGTGGTTTGACTGACAAACCATTAATTGAGAGTTTATGGTAGCTCTGCAGTTTCTATTCAAACCTAACCACAGATGCTAGCTACCATCATTGCTAACAGTTTGCAGACTTGCTTCCGTGTACTAGGTACTAGTACCAGGGAGACAACACCTACACATGTTGGCCACACATTGTCCTGACAACAGTTAAGGTATAATTCTCTAGCATTCTCAGTCCTAAATTTAGACTACTAATCCCAGTCTTGGGTCCAAATAAGTTGATAGTAGTTCAATGACCATGTTGTGCCTTCACTTGTTACTTGACACTCGGTTGCATGATTTTATGCACAATAACAGAAACATGTACGATACGTTGGGAAACAAATGTTTTATTTAATGTTGAGCATACAACTGAAACATACCATCATCGCTGAGAAGATGTAAGAAAGAAGCCCCTTCTCCAAAGACAAACATTAGCTACAAGGGCACCGGCTGTTAAATTATCTCAGCATGTACTTACAAGACCTGAATAATACAACTCTAACTGTAGAATTACTCTCAATACGTGATTCTTAAAGAAACTGAGGCATTTACAACATCTAAGTTAGAAGTGCGAGTGTTCACTTCAGTAAATTCTTGTGGGAAGGAAAACACTCCTTTCTGATTTCTGGCAATGGCTTATAGAAAGCTGCAAATTAAGAGATCCGGTTTTTAATAGGGCATTTATTGTTCCCAAGAAAAGCTCATGCATTTAAGATAAAATCAAATTAAACCCAAGTACATTACCAAAATAACTCAATTAATATAACTTATTTTCCACGTCAGAAAGTGTGATCTCAGGTGCTCCTATTCTATGGTAAACAGTTTAATTATATTTATACATTTTTATACAAATCACCATTGTAAGAATACTCTAAAAGCAAAGATAGATGGCATTTGTATGCTGATATTTTGTTGTTTTGTTAAAGTCTCCAAATATCTCAATTTTCAGACCTCATTGTTTATTGTCTCTAGAGAAGACCATTTTCATATTTTCATCTTCACATTAGAATATGCTCTAAACTATTTGCTTGGACTTACCATACGTGAAACAATAGTTCCCTCTTCTGGATCGAGGTAATGCTACATTTAGGGCAGAGAAATCTCTTCAGAACGGAATTCCAGTTAATGTTTACTGAAGGTGCAGGTTTTCTTCCCTAATTGAACAACTTTACAATAACATGAAAAGCCCTAAAATCTATTCACAAAGAAGTCAAGCACATAGAGAAAAAGAGGTGTAGAAATCAATGAAGTATTGGATTGTGGGATTTTGCATTCGATTTCAGCTGAAGGTACTGATTGCTGCAACAGATGTAAATAAGGATCTGTCACTATTTTGATAGTGAAACATAAATTCTCTGGAATGTATTGATTCCCAAACTCTCAGGGTTTTTTAAAAAGTGGTACAAATCACTGATCTGGAAGGAGGAATTTATTTTAAACAAGTGTTTAACTCAAGGTCTTGTGCTTTTGGACTGGAGTATCAATTACATAACGAAAGATCAGCTACATACTAAACTTAAAAAACTAACCACCCACTGAAAGAAGAGACAATGGATAGAGGAAGTAAGGCAAAAAACCTCAAGGACCTAGATTCACAGGACAAAACGTGTCCTCAAAGACATCAGTTGTCATCCTCACCTTGAACAAAGCATTAGGAAGCAAATTTGTGAAGGAGCACAAGCACCTAAAACTAACTTTTGTTCTCTCACAACGGTTTTTGTGTGAAAAGCAGCCCAGTACAGCACAGTACCAATATGGAAGAGCTGAAATACTCTGGGTTACCTGCAGCTGAAAACAAATGGCAGGTATAGAGTCAATCTTGTGAACAAAAGATACCAACCTCTCCTCTGGAACAACACTTCCAAGGAAGTTCCCACCACAAGCCTTGCTTCACAGACTTCCAGTACATATGGAAGTCTTGTATGACAAGGAGAGTCTGGGAAAAACCTGATGGTCTCTGCAGGAGAGGGCCTGTATTTGAACCACAGCAACTGTTACTCTTGACAAAAATATCCCTGAACAGTATTTGCCCAAAGCACCTTCTCTTTGGAACAAGAGCCCCCCTGAAAGGGGTGAGACTGTGGAGGTTCATATGGAGGTAGGGAGAGTGAAAGCTGGAACTCCCAAGTCCACCTCTAGAGGTGTGATACAGAAGATAGAACCCTTTATTAACCACTAGGAAACTTTATTTATCACTCTGTAACTTTGCATGGTCCCAATGGATTAGAAAACTTGCCCAGAGTCTGGGCATACTCCAGTAAGACAGGCAGAAAAGACTGAAATGCTTAATTTCCATTTCTTCAGTGCTCAATTGGTTTCATAACTGACTGCAAAAAAACACAGTGAACTTTGCCAGGGAACTGGGTGGTCGCCTTTCTTCTCAAATGTTGAAAATACACTGTTCCAAGAACCACATACTCCCAAAATTAGTAACCCAATGCTTGCAGTTGTGATAAGTAATAAAAACTCCTCTCCAGACATACAAAGGAGCCTGCAGCTAAAATGGTCCTATGAGAGGAACATCTTCTATAGCAACATGGTCATCTTTAGGTAGCTGAAAGGGCTTAATATTTGGTATCCTGACTTGCTCCTTTCTGGTATCCAAATGAATAGCCAAACAAGTCTGCTATATTTGCCTTTTAATGGGCAGAGAACCACATGTTTTGAGCTAGGTGTTCATTTGTATGTTCTTTTCATGAAAGGTGGCACACTTCTCATGAAAGTGTGACACACTTCAAATCAGAGTGTCTTAGCCTTAGGAACACACTTACAGTCCTTCTCTTGAATCTATTTTCAACCACTTTCAGCAGCAATAGAAAGTAAAATCAGTTCCTTATTTTGCACATTGCTGTAAATGCTGCTACTTCTACCAGCTGGGACAAAGCATCTTGTGCCTTTGTTCATGAAAATGATGCTTGAGCAGAATTTCATTTAAATCTTCCCAAAGAAGCTGCCTCACAAATCACAATGGACATATTAAATATACTTTTCATAAAAGACTCAGGTAAACTCACATGAAAAAATTCTGTAGGAATATCTGCGTGAAAATTGAAGAATCCATAGACCCAGACCCTGGCAAAAAATGTACCTAAATATTTTGCATCACAATCAGATACACTGTAACTGACCTAGAAATTAGGCTTTCCAGATTGCATTAAGTCAAATAAGCTGATGTGTTCTGTAAAGGCTATCAGTAGGAAGTAGGTTTTGATTCAAAATACTACCTTCACTTTTAGGTGATTCTACCCTACAGACTACCCCTCAGGTTTACTCGCCAGAATTTTTTGTTCCTTGCTCAAATTTGCTCACATCAAGTCCTGCAGAGATATGGAATCAGTGCAAAGATTTAACTTCAGCGTGTAAAACAAATAGACCTGAAGCCGAGGTAAGGTACTGATGGAATTTTCCCACAGACCTTGCAAGATCTGATCAAATATACTCACAAGTCAAGATGGTGAAAATATAAATCATCAAATCCAACACAAAGCAGAAGAGCTTTGTCGTCAGAAGCTCAGTCACCCACTCTAATACAGAGGGAAGAATACGAGGCAACATTCAAAGGAGATAAAGGTCCAAGCTCTCTACTGTTAAAGGAAATAAAATTATGCTGCCTCTATCCACTTCTAATGCCCCTCACATATGCTATCCATATTTCACAGCTAAACACCGAGAGAGAAGAAGAAAACTTTCTGCTATTAAGCCCATTCCTCTAAGAATCCTCATGGGTGTTTATGGTTGGATCACAGTTACTGGATGTGCAAATTTCTACTGAATATAAAACATGCCAAAACAAGAGGAGAGAAAACCAGAAGGGGAAACAATCTTCATTTATGTATGCATTCATTTTAAGAACTTGCTTAAACAGATTATTGTGCATCATTTTTTCACGAATAAGGATTTGGAGAGAACTGGACATAGTGTTTACCATGTTGTGACACAGAAAATTATACTCATAAACTTTTTTCCTCTAATTCTGCAGAAAGATCTTGCTCAGGAGAGATAACTTTGCTGACAGAAGCAGCAATTGCCTATAGTTCAGAGGTGCAGAATTTTAGGTGTGGTAGCTCTAACCATGTAGTCTCAGTCCCAGCATTGTCAGGACCAGTAGAAAGGGGTTTCCTAGGTGCATGTGAGCCACATCAAGCAAGTGGAAGGAAGTGACAAGTGATAGATAGAGGATACTGCTGTCCACTACAGAGGTCAGAAGCCTGATATCTGCTGATCAGATTTAGGGAGGTCTGCTGCTTGTGTGGGGCTTTCATTGAGAATGTTGTGCAGAGGCTACTAAGGCTTATCTGGCTTTTCCACTACACAGTGGTGCCTTTTCACATGAGTACCAAAGACACCACCAGGGGTCACCTGAGAATTATCAAGTGTAACTAGCAGGCTTTAGGGGCACTGCTGAACAGCACAGACACCCAAAGCGTTTTGTCCATTGTACCCAAAGAGGACTCAGCAGAAACTGTGCATGAACCACTGGTTGCACAGCTGCTGTTCATAGCAGACTTCTAATTCCCACGAGCATGGCAGCCATGGTGAAAATCTGAAGGAAATAACTAGGTTCTAAGGAGAAGGAAAGCTGGCAGAGAAAAAGGGATATTGTTGAGGTAGATAACTAGATACCTGCTGTATACCAGACTAGGGAGGTTCAAAACAGGGAGGACCAGGTTAAGGTATATTTCAACACTCTGTATGTATACAAGTTTGTGGAGCCAGATGGGTTTGACCCAAGTGTGCTGAGGTAGGTGAAGGCCAGTGGCATTGCAAGGCCACTCTCAGTGTTCTTTGAAAGGTGGAGGTGAGTGAGAAAAGTTCCAAATGGCTGACTCAGCCCTGCCTTCTAACTGTGAAAGGAAGAAGATGAACTACAGCCTCATGCAATCCTTTGAAAACGTTGCAGAAAATCCCCCTAGAAAGCATTTCCAAAGGCAGGCAGAATCAGAAGGTGCTCAGGAGTAGTCAGCCTGGATTTCTGAGCAGAAAACCAGAAACTGTTTACAGAGCAAATCCAAAGCTGTTGAACATCTCCCTTACTGACCTGCAGGATGGGACAGTGCAGATTCAAGCAAGTTTAGAGAGCATATAAAAGTGGAAGGAGTGAAAAGTGCAGCAGACAGTTGTGCGGACCTTTGGGGAGACATCAATAGAAGAAATGCAGGGCTGGGCAGGAAGGAATGCAATAAAGCACAGCAAGGGCAATTCCCCGTTGTGCAGGTGAGGAGGAGTAGCTCCTTGCACTGGCACATGCTGGGGACCTGTGAAGCTGACAAGCAGCTTTGCAGAGTTCTTTAAGATCCTGCTGGACAGTAAGCTGAGTTTGAGCCAGCAACACTGGCTTCCTGCAAAAGTGACCAACACTATTATTCTCAGCTGTATTTACAAGTGCATTAAGAGCAGCTCAGAGGAATTTGTCCTTCCTCTACCCTTAGTGCTGGTGGTGAGGCCAGGTGAGGAGCGTCAAGTCCAGTCCTGGTTTCCCCAGCACAGACAAGTTGTAGATAGACTGCAGTGGCTCCAGCACAAGCTCAGAGATCCTGCTCTCCGAAATGGTGCTGCAGCATGTCCAAGAGGCAATTCCTGATACTGCAACTTCACTTCAGTGCCCCCCTGCAGCTCGCAGCCACCCTGTGCTAGGGATGGATGCTACCCAGCCCAAGACCAATAAGGGTAATCTGCTGCTTCCCACTGCAGGGCAAATGAGGAGTCATCATCTCCACGTTCTCCTCTGCTTGCAGCTCCTTGAGCACACAAGGGTACAGCCTCTCAAGACGAAAAATAAAGTGAGAATGACAACTATTGTCTAAGTTTTATTCTGCAGTTGGCAGCTGGCCTGGAGTAGAGGGTGAAGATGTGAAGTGTTGTGGCTCTAAATCCAGCAGGCAAGCTAACACTGCAGGGTTGTGTTTTACTATCTTTGAGGTTAAGCAGCTGTAACACCAGAGTTGCAAAGGTGCTGCAGGCTCTTCCTCTGCCTCCCACACTAATTTGCCTGCTGCTCTCTTTTTCTACACTTTGCTCAGAGCTGTGAGACCATACTGGGCTCTGAGGACGGACACAGTGCCTGCTCAGACACTCTCACCAGCCCAAGGTTCCTTACAAGATCAGGAGGTCAGGAGGTTACAGTGTCCTGATGACATGGCAGGTACACAAACTTCCCAGCACAGTCTTCCTCCAGCAATTTCCACCATTTTTTCTCCTTACACTGGCCTAAAATATGCTACCAAAAATATTTAAAATTACATCTCAAATGCAGCCATGAATGTTTCCATGCCCAAAGCTGTAATGGATCAACAAACTGCTACAGTGAAAGACAGCTCCAAGGACATGAGCACAGGCAACACTTCCATCACAGCTACTATGCCCATGTGAATCAGAGCAAAACAAAGCAAAACAAAAACAAAATGAGCTTTAAAGAGAGCTACATACCTAAACTGGCTTCAGCCCACACATTTTTTCCTAGGGATTGGAGATATCCAGCATCATGGCAGTAAGCATAATGGGAATTTCCTTCGTATTGTGATCTAGCTAGAGGTTGCAGCTGCTATATTGTGCTTGTATTGCCCATGCTGCTTCAGTCTGCTAAATCAAAATCCCATCTCAAATAAGTAAATTTTGTAATACCCTCCTCATGTGGAATATCTAAAAGAGCCTGGTCAGAGTGCAAAGCTAAGAGTCAGGACTGCAAGACGGCAGCAAACACCTCACCACATAGAATGCATCTCCAACAGGACTCAGTTTACTCGAGCAATTTACACACGGCAATTCAGAACAATGTGAAACAGCTACCCCTTTGTGGCATCAAGGGCAACTGGGAAAGATGTAAAAAGACAGGGCCATGTGCATAACACTGTGTACAACTCACCTACTAGAGTAAGGCCACAGCTTGACGTAAGCGAGAGACAGTAGGTGACACTTCTTTCTGACCTTGATTCAGCTTAAGTTTCAGTCTCTTCAACAATACAATAATAAAACAACAATCTTGCATGTATCAAAAAGTAAAACTCTAAATATATTTATTATTCTGTTATATTTGCTTTTCATTGCACAGATTTGGTTTTTATCCCCATGTTCAACAGTTTTTTTACAAAGCTTTTAGGAGTTATAGAAACTGTTAGAATAATCACTCAAGACTATTTAGGCACAGATCATGAACACATAACTCCATTTCCTCGAGGTTTTTTCCATGTGAAAGATTAGTGGTTGCAGTTAAGCTCCAAATTTAAATACATTTCACAGTCCACGCTTTTACAGGCATACTGTCTAAAAAAGAAGTTTTGATTAAATAGTCTCACCAAAGCCTAAATGAAAGCACCTTCTTTTCCATAAATGCTGAAATCAACACAACCCTAGGATAAGAACCATTCTCTATGCTAGTCAGTCATAGAATAACAAAGAAATTGTCCCCAAGACGATGTAAAAATCCCCTGGAAAATTAGTTTACTTTGGAAATAATTTAAATAATTTATTTTGTATGAAAAAAATAAGCAAAAAAAAAAATGCAGCCAAAATGCATTTGGTGACAAGGATGTGTCCTAAACGTATCCTCTGGGCCTAGCTGATTCCGTGATTTCTATGTGCCACTATAGAGGTGCATGACTACAGATTAAACAGTGTTTGCTTGATCTGCCTGGGTTTAAGACATCTACATAAGGTCCAGCATCGAGCCAGAGAGCTGGTGCTGAAGGGCACAGATCAGTGTGACCACAGGGCTGAGGAAGGCTGAGCAGCCCGGGAGGAAGCAGGGGGCTGGACAATACAGCTGGACAATACAGCTGGGAACCTGCAGCTGTAGATGGCTGCAGGAATGGGACAAGGTGCTGGCACCTGGGAGCTAAGAAAGCAGCAGCTGCAGGCATTAAGGACAAGTGATACTCCAGCAACCCCGGAGGGCTGTTCACGACTGGCCACAGCCCTGCGATCTTACTGTGGTTGACACAACACTTCTAGCACCATTGCTGAAATGCCTGCAGTGGGCTGGGGGTCCAACTCCCCACTCATCCTTTTAAACCCTCTTGGTATATTCCCACGCTGTCAACACTGTGCAGCTTTGAATGTCCTCTGATGACCCCCAGTTGACTGCAGCTGGTCTTTGGCAGAAGGAGGGAAAGAAGGCCACTGACTCACAGGACACAGAGACTCTTCAGCTTCTCGGGTGAGAACTAGCCCATACCATCAACTTTTTGAAGCAGAACCTCCAACACCGACTCTCCTTTTCCTATTACAAAAGTGCCGGCCCTTGGCACCCCCAGTGCAGCCTCCCACTCAGAGCGGGACTATCCCCAGCACCAGGTCAGGGCAGCCACGGCTTTCCCGAACCACCTGGGAGCAGGGCCAAGCTGGGAGGGGAGAGGGGTGCGTAAGGATCACTTGGGAGCTAGAGGTGACTGTGAAGCCCAGCAGAGTGGACTCTCTCTGGCAAGGGGACAGCAGCCACAGGAGCCCCAGAGTGAGAAAAGAAGCTGGCAGCTGCCTTCATTCTCCCACTCTCCTGTCATGTGGAGGGGCAGCAAAACAGGTCATTCCTAGAGCTCAACACGTAGCTTCTCCAAGACCAGAAGAGCAAGATTTTCCAAAGTCTCTCACTAGCATAAACACATAAGCTTCTGACATTGGTGAGCAGGCAAGCAAGGGGAGCCTGAAGAAGCACAGCAAATCCATCAAAAACTGTCTGGTGACGATTAGGGAAATGTGACCAGGGAAGTCCATGCTGCCTGAAATATCAATTTTACCCCCAGTAAAAAACCTAGGAGGAGTTATCTGCAGGAACTGGAGTCTCCCCCTGTGTACAATGAACTGCAAGCCAGCAACCTCAGTAATTGCCTTTGTCCATGCAGAGATTTCTGAGCTCCAGCTCCAGCTGTTTAATTTGGACATCTCTCTGGATTACCAACTCACGTAGTCGACGGATTTCTTCCTGTTGCCGGTAATACATCTGTAAAAGCTGAAAGAAAGAACACATTTTATTTACTTTAAGAAAACACAGGCTTAACCTGACCATGCCACCAGAGCTGTCACATCACTTCTGAGAGAAACATCTAAGGAGGAGGCCTTCAACCAAGAGACAACATCAGCAGTGCTCTTGTCCACTAGATTGGGCTGTGACTGCATGTGTTTCACAGAAAGTATTTGGAGTCTAAATTCCTGGGTCTGCCACATCTCCTTCTCTAACCTTGGGCAAGTCCTTTTTCTTCTTCCAGCTGGAACAAGAATAGTCTTTCACAATGCATGCAGCAGAGCACCCAGCACTGCTGGAGTGCCAGCTCAGAAACACGTGGAAAAATATCCTTTTCAACACCACAGGGAAATTCAGATGTGGAAATTCCTGCCCTAACAAGGTGCAGATGCTAAATTCTTGCAAAGATGAAAGGGGACCTCAGTACAGGTATGGGAATGTTATAGATAGGTAATGTGATGGATTGGCTCTTGCAATTAAGAGATTGTCTTAGGTTGCAATGCAAGATGTAACCAAAAGTATGTATTCTATCGCCATCTGTTGAAATCAGGTGGGGCAGTGATTTTTATCTCTTCCACAACTCATCCTTCCTCCAGGAGGATATCTTCTGTTAATGGGCCACTGGGTGCCACTGCATGACTGATAAAATTACATCATCCCATTGGGAGATGCTCCAGCCACGGGGGGAGCCAAGCATTTCCTACCTAGATAAAAACTGAGATTTGGAATATCAGATCAGCCATTTAGTACTGGATTCCCAGAGGAAAACCAGACCTTTCCACATCATCATTGGACCTTTGGAGGAAAACTGCACCCTTCTACAGAACCACTGCTTCAACAGAACCACATCGGTCATCCAGGAGGACTGCAGCCACCATTTAATGGGACTGCTACCAACACCCTGACTGACAGGGTGTCAGGTTGTACTCTGACTCTGTCAGGATTTTGGTTTTTGTATTACTGTATTTTATTTTAATTTTCCTGGTAAAGAACTGTTATTCCTATTCCCACATCTTTGCCTGAGAGCTCCTTAATTTCAAAATTATAATAATTCAGAGGGAGGGGGTTTGCATTTTTCATTTCAAGAGAGGCTCGTGCCTTCCTTAGTAGACATCTGTCTTTTCAAACCAAGACAGGGATGAATATTGTGTGTATGTTTAGAGAAGTTTTATTGATGTAAGTTTTGTTATTGTGCTTCCTTGTTTGGACATCTTCTGTTCTTTCCACAGTCCCCTTTCCAACCCCTGTATTGTTGCCACTGGAGGGCCTTGGTTGCCAGGACATGTGGAGGGAGGGCATGTACATGTGCCCCTTTGCACAGGGCATTTGAGAGGAGGGCAGGCTTGTTACTAGGAGGCAGGGGCATGACAACACCTCACCTTCAGTCAAGTTGGAAGAAAGTCTCTGCAATGGACAGCAAAGAAGAGTGGAGTGGTGGACTTTGGGAGGGGCCAGGGTTGCCTAATGCAACACCAGGGGTATAAAAGGCAGAGCGGCAATTTTGTGGGCAAGCACGTGGCAATTGGTTATATGCTCCCAGCACTGCTCTTTTTCCTTATTCAGTCATTTGTTGCATTTGTTAAGGTTTAACAAACCTTTGAAAAATTTTAAGTGAGCAGTCGTTTCTCATAGGGAAGAAAATTATTCCAGGATTCCTAAAAGCAAACACACTGCATGTAGTTGAAAATGTCCCTGAGCTGCCAACAGTGGGAGGCTGATAAACCACCACAGAGATGTACCACTGTGCCGGCTTTGATTACTATACAGAGAGGTGGTTTTCCATGACCAAAGACAGATGATGGAGCTGCCAGGATCTTTTCTAGAGCCTTTCCCAGGTGTATGCTGCAGCCAGCAGCCAACCTCAGTAGCACTGCACTAACAAGTTGTCCCTCAGCAGTGAGCTGCAGAGGCAGACTCTCTCTCATGTCAAGGTCCAAAACACAGTCAGGCAGTTAAGACTACATGGATGCACCACAGGTACACCCACTCCTTTCACAGGAATCCCTGTTGCCTTACCCAGCTTGCTGACTGCAGTTCTCATCAAAGGGTTATCCTGCATAAACCCCCTTCTCTTCTCCAGAACTGTAAGTCTTAAGGACCTCCCTGTCCCCAGCCAGCCACCAGGCAGGTCTGTGCCACAGGAATGCCTAGGAAATGAAAACACTGACTGCCCACTCCTTTCCAGACCCTCTCAGCTGGGGTGCAGCAGGGCCATTATTTCTGCTTCCCATGTGGAAGTCGGGGTAGGCAGAGTTTTTGCCACCACAAAGAGCAAAGAGGCTTCTGCTGACACACAATTACGCCTGCAAAATAAACCCTTGCTGAATTGCCACCATGTGAACGGCATCCTTTTGTCATCTGGTTTTGGGCTACCCCCGTGGCCCCAATACTTCACTCCAGACATTCATACCTCATTTTCAGTTTTTGGTGGTGGACACTCAAATACGTCAAAGCCATTGGAGAGGCACATTTGCTCATTTTTTGGCAGTTTCTCCTCCACTTTCGGCCATTTTCTGCCATCTTCAATCTCTCTTGGCTTCTGCTTGTCCTCCAGTGATATCCTTCCTCCCCCTCCCTGCTGCTGTCTCAGGTCAGCAGCTTTCATAAGTGGCTCTGGCTCAAGAAACTGTGGTAGGGAGTTCACAGCTTCAGAGCCTGGTCTTAAGGATACCAAGAGAGGCCCTAGGGAGGGAGGAGACAAGTGAGCACTCACAAACCACAACCACAGAAATCAGCTGGAAGAAATTCATACAAACAACCAGCTGTAAGCAAATAATTCAGAGATAAACATGGAAGCACCTGACCAGAGCAGCTTCCAGAATTTAGAGTCAACAAGTTATTTTAGCTTCCAGCCATATTTCCTATGTCTCTCTTTTTCCTTCTTTCCTCTTTCTCAGGTAGGTAATAGGCCAGAGAGCTGACAGCTGCTTATCCAAGCCCTGGGGAGCTGAAGGGCTAGGAGAGGGGAGCTCTCCATATGCTGACCTTTGTTAATCCCGTTGAGCCATTCTTGTGCTGTCAGTGCCGGCTGGGCTGCTGCAGTCAAGGGGTAGATATCTTCCTGGTACGATTCCGACTGGAAGCAAACAAAAGTCCAGAGTAACTGTGTCAGTGAGATTTTGGCTGAAAGAGGTCTCGATTGTGGTGGAGAAATTAGTTTATTCCCCTTCAGCACAGGGAGTGTCATGAGCACTCACCAGCATGGACATAAAGTCTTTTCACCTGCTCTGAATCTCTCTGTTCCTCACCTCAACTCAGAAGAATTGCATCTGAAGGTCTAATTTAATTCGTGCCAGTAAGGTCTTCAGACTGGGGGAGGCTGACATAGGCTAGCTCAACTCCCATGAAATCATGTTCCTAAGGATGAACACGTGGATACAAAGGACAGACAAGTCACAAATCATCAGCTGATTATCAGCTGACAGAAAATGGCCAAGGAGATAAAGCTGGAGGAACATGCTTGGATGCTTGGTTGGGAGGTGCAATGAGCATTAGTTTTCCTCTGTCTCTGAATTCAAAGAAGTCATACCTTTTTTCATATTCTACTTTCTGGAAGTAGAGAGCACAGTAGTGACATTTCCCTTGTTACCCATGCTCACACAGTCACATGGGAGCTACCTTGGCTAGCTGTAGATTCAAGGCCTGTATCGTTCTCTAATGACACCAGCTTTGAGACTTACTCCTACATCAGCCTCAGTGCAAGAGCTCATGTCTTACATGCTGCAGAACAACTGTCTGTAACACAACTCTACCCAAGGGGTAGAGAGCCATTAATTCACAGTTCCTGTTTCACCATCAGCTTCAGCCCCTCTGCCTCTTTTATCATTATGTCAAACACATTTTATTGGAGAAGCTTACAGACATCTAGCAGCATTTCTTGGAAAGTCAGATATTAAACAGAGACCTAACTCTTGAGTTACCCAGATAGGGTTTGTTGGCAGGGCTGCCCCAGAAACTGGCCAGCTATGTCCCTCATGCCAGGAGAGAGAAAATCTCCTGTTCTACCTACTCTCCTGCCCCAAGAGTCACAGAGAGAAAAATGAAGTAGTGTCCTCATTCTTTCACTGATATTTGCCTCAGATATGAACATGACCTGAGGTTGACCTACCCGTCGAGGCACAATCATGGAGATGGGCTCAATCAGGCTTTTAGTTGGAATCAGTTTGTAGAAACGGAAAATTTCACAAGCTGCCACATCAAGACCTCTCTTTGGCATCATTCCTAGGGGAAGAGCATGAAATAAACGGAGTATAAATCTCCTTTGGAAAGTTAGTATCATTAGCCATGTGAAAAGGGTCATCCAACAATGAAAGAAGCCATAGCATCAGTACCACATCAGCATGGTTTGAGGTCTGCATCCTAAACTGGCTCAGTGGCACAAATGAGAAGATTAATTTTTTTTATTTTTTTTTCTGTCAGATCATGCTGTTACCTACATGGTATGTGTTTTTCTGGCAGGTGATGCCACAGGATTTGAGTATCAGGATGACTAGGAAGGGGTTTCAGGACACTTAAACAACCAGAATAGCTATATATGTCTGAAATACCTTCCAGGCAAGTATCCTCCCCCAACACTGTCCCAAAACAGAAATGAGAATGAGAAGGCTGTGAATATCTATTCTGTCCATTTGTGTGTTTTAGAGAGTGGCTAAGCCACACAAGGTCTCTAATTACTTGATAACCTCAGTGAGTTTCTCTCCCATTAGCTTGTACAGCCTAAAGCTATATCCATGTCAATTCCCTTAACAAAAGAGATTCCCTATGCCCATAGACATTGTTTCAAGGCACCCAAGCTTAGTTTTCTACTAATACCCAGTGACTCCATTAAGTAGGAGATTCTATGTGCAGGCCTGTTGCTCCTTATATAATGCTTTCTTCTAAAAGTGAACCTAAACTCCATTCCTCCACACAGTACTTTGTTTTGGTAATATGGAAAAGGAAGTTTTGTACAATAATCTTAACAGTATGCACGATCAGCTGAACAAAGGAGGTTAGGGAAGTAGACATGATTCACTTCCCTTTAAAAACACTTGTACACTTCCTTTCCATTAAATAATTTTTAAAGAGACTATGACAATGAGAAATAAGAATGTTGTACTGGAAGGATTATAATGAGGAGATCCTTACAGTTAAGTTTTAAATAATATATTCATTTTAATTTTTTCTGAAGGCAACCTACAGGTACAAAATTCAGGTGCTGTAATATCTGTACCAATGTCCTCTAAGAGCAGGAGTGTCTACAGGTAGTATGGAGGGCTCATGATCTAGAAACATGCAGAGGAATATGACCCATAGAGTAGGTTGGAAAAGGTTCAGGAAAGGGTTAACAATAATGTCTGAGGGCTGAAAGCTAAATTCTGTGGCTTGAATTAGTTAAAAAGTGGGTAGTACACAGAGAGGTTTATAAGCAAGGGTCTCCAAGGGAGGAGAGATGACTTAATCACAGTAGATCTATTTCCAAATAGGAAATGTAAGTAATAAAGAAGGTAGACATCAATCAAAAGATTGAAGACATTAAGCTGTGAAGCATCTGTTACCAGAGAAATCACAGAGTGGGAATTATGGAAATAGAGCTGAAAGACAAAAATCTTGAAGCAGACTGACAAATGGCAAGGAGCATTCTCCACCTTGAAATCCAGAATATCCTCCTTTCTACCTTGCCCAGGTATGTGAGAGGAGATGTAGCAGTGACCTGTAAAACTTCCAACCCATGCTCTGCTGGTCAGAAGGGCCCTTTCCAAGCTCTGACCCTGTAATACCATCTGTCATATTTGTGTGAGCTGGGCCAAGCTGACTGTAAGCGCCTGTAAACCTGTGTGGAAGATCCTGACCCATTCATTCTCTTTTCTAAATGATATTTTGGATCGTCTTAGACTCTGAGAGCCTCTAAAAATAAAGAAGTCACAAACCTCTTGTAACATTAGATATTCTGCTACTTACCAATTCCCTTCTGTGGTGAGTGAGAACGATATTCCATCAGGTAGTTCAGGTATGGCTTCTCAGGGCTTATCTCATAGTACCGTATGTTTCCATCACCCTAAAGGCAAAGAAAATCAACATAAGCCAGACTTTGCCATTCAGTGTGACAGTGTGAGAAGAATTCCTGGCCCAAGAAGCCATGCAGGATCAACAATGAACCAAATGTTTACCCTCAAATTCCTATATGGGAAGGTTAGGACCCAGCTGTGTACCTCTCCACAATAAACACAGTACATCTGTAAACATGGTAAATGTTGCCTGATGATGAAGCACCCTCTGGCCCCACCCTATCTGCTCATATCCTTAGGTTAACATGCTTCAGGAGCATCTTTGACCTCAGTATGTCACAACACAGACTAACAGGAGAATCAAACAGGCCTTGCTGATGTGGAAAGCACTTACCTTTCCTACCACATAAAGCATGTGTGTGTCAGAATCATAGATGGGAAACAGCAGTCCTGAGCAGCCATCCAGATCCTCCTCCAGTAAAGGCACAGAAAGGTCATTCTGAGCAGGACACAGGAAAAAGAGTCAGCTACAATCACCTGTCAGTCACCTGAAGTCCAGGACACCTGAACCCCACCTGGCAGTGGCATATGAGCAGAGCTCTGTAATGGCCCACAGCCCTGAGCAGGGGGCCATGCAAAGACTGCTGCAAAGCCCTGTGGATGGGAAATGGGTGCTCTGTCCCACACCTTGACTGAGGGCAGGACATCAGCTCCTACCACTGTAACACCTCAGGCATCTGATGGCATTTCAGGGTCAATTCAGTAAGGAACATTGCCTGCCTCTACATGGGCCAGACCTGAGGAGATGAAGGGGCCTTCAGGGTACACCTACATCACTGGTGTAAAATTCACACTGAATTTTACTCATGTTCTCTCAAAACTTCTAGTCAAGGCAGTACTTTCACAATGTTGCACCACCCACAAGAGCAGTCTGCATCAGCCAAGAAGCATTGCTCAGTGGGAAGATGCCTGTTGCAAGGACAGTGGGAGATCCACTGGCCTTTTGCAGGTACGCCATGTAGGAGGACACAGCACACCACTCCATAGGCAAAGCTGGCATGTCTTGTACAAAGCTATCCCTGCACGGCTGAAGGGAGTGATTTGGGGAGGAATGACAAGGCAGACTAGTGTCCTATGGCTGTTATGTGGCGATTTTCATGATTCTCTAAATACATGAACATGTATTTAGCACAGGGTTAACACACATTTTCTCCTGCAGAACTGACCAGCTGCAGGCTGCAGTAAGCTAGAGCTTCTGTTTAGATGCAAAGATGGGTGTGGACCTCAGAAAGAGGCCTGCTAGGCAAGCTCTGTGCCAATCCCTGTTCCTAAGGAGGCTTTACATACCTTGCCTCACAGACCTTCCCACTGTGTTCTTAAACCAAGCATTTAAAACTCATGTAGTGTCACAGCACTGCTTAGCATTGTGGAAAACTTTCAGACAGCAGCACAGTGCTTTCCCTGCCACATGTGAAAAGAAGGCATGTCCAAACATAGCCAGAACATAGCAAATCATAGCCTGGTCTACCAGCTTTGTCTGGTAACAAAGCATGACAGCACTACAAAGAGAAAAAAGATTGTGCTGCACGGTGGTTGATGCAAAGGGACATATTTAGATGCTGACAAAATAAAAACATCTCACTGCATTTGAAAGGGTAGATGAGAGCAGAGCTTCAAAAGACTAGCAGCCATCCTGACAGGAGATCATGTCTTGGCAATGACCAATTAAGGACTACCTCAAGTACTCTACCCTCAAGAATCATCAGAAACCAAAAACCCGACACTTTTCTTCATTGAGGGCTTCATCTGTGTAGGCTGTGTTTAGAGCTCATTCCTCTTTCCAGCACCAGAACCAGTTTGCCAGTAAGACCAGTAAGAGCCACATTAAGTCAGAACTACAGTAACCACATCACATTGTCCTTAGAACAATTTCTTCTTGCAGTGGACTGCTGTGGTTTAACCTTAGTCAGCAACTAAGTATCACACAGCCATTTGCTCACTTCCCCTTGGTAGGATGAGGAAGAGAATCAGAAAAAGGTAAGGCCATGGTTGAGATAAGAACAGTTCAGTAATTAAAAAAAAAAAAAAGGCAAAATAGAGAACAATAACAATTGTAATGAAAAGAAAAGGGACAGAGAGGAATAAAACTCAAGAAAAATAAGTGATGGACAACACAACCACTCACCACTCGCTGACCAATGCCCAACCAGTCCCTGAGTAGCAATCCATGGCTCCTGGCCAACTCCCCCCAGTTGAGCATGACGTTCTATGGTATAGAATATCCCTTTGGCCAGTTCAGATCAGCTGTCCTGGATATCCTCCCTCCCGGTTTCTCGTGCACCTGCACACTGGCAGAGCATGAGACACTGAAAAGTCTTTGACTTAGGGTAAACACTACTTAGCAACACCCCAAATGTCAGTGTGCTTCCAATACTAAATCCAAAACACAATCTTGTGCCAAGTACTAAGAAGAAAATTAATTCTATCCCAGCCTAAACCAGGACATGGGTTCAGCATTCACTTTGTTCTCTTAGGCTTCTATGTTGAGAACTTCTCCAGAAACTCAGTTAGGTCTCACAGCAGTAAGACCTATATACCCTTAAGGAATCTGACAGATCACTTCTGAATTGCTGTTATAAATCAATTCTTGTGTATGTGGCAGGTGGAAAGTTAAAGTGACAGCAAAAGAGAGAAAACTGAAGCTGGTATGGTTAAGATTTTTGGTCCAACTCACTTGATCCCATAATGCAATTTGCCTGTTATTCCACCCAGACGTTCCAGTAGAAAACAGCTTTTTCATGTTTCCAAGGAATAAGACTTTATTGACTTTGTGAGACTTGTAGCTTCCTTCCTGTAGAAGAGAAAGGACATTGTATGAGTAAGACAACATCTGTTACATAGCTACATTTCATGTTACATGACAACTCTCATTCACTCACATCTGAAAGATCTGCTCAGCCCAGCTGAACTACGGTGAGCAGGATTTCACAGGCATCTGAAAAGAAGTGGCCTAAACTCTTCAGGATCATTCCCAAAAGCTCAACCACAGATCACAGAATATTCTGAGTTGAAAAGGACACACAAAGATCATCAAGGCCAACTCTTAAGCGAATGGCCCATATGGGGATTAAATCCACAATCCTAGTGTTATCAGCACCCTGTTCTGACCAGCTGAGCCAACCTCCTTAACTATTGATTCAGGTATTTGCAAGACAGCAGTCTCTAGTAGTTGCAGGCAGGACTTTCTGTGTACACAAACCTGTGCAATCAGTTTCACCTAGCCAACAAAATCCAGGGAAAAGGAACAACCTTGATCATTTGGACAAATGCACACTTGCATCCACCTGTCCACCTGATCTCTACATTCCCTCCCATGATGTCCCTCAGAGGGCTGAAGGAGGTACCTATGAAAATAATACAATCCAAATAAGGTTTCAAGGAGCAAGGAACACAGGATCAAGATAGAAAATCCCTGTTTTCAATGACAGTAAGCGTTCCATGGAAAGTAGAAGAGAACAGCCTTGGGCAATACAGGGCACAGATGCATTGTCTTTTATGGCAATGAAGCTACCCAGGAGAGGAAACACTCCAAGAGGCAAGATCAGATAGACCATAAACCTCTGAACCCAACCTACCTGTAGGACTGTTCCAGCACGAGGGTCTATCACACGTATCTTTTTGTCCCTGCAAGCAGTGGCAAGGAGACTGCCATCTGTGTTGAATGACATGGAGAGGACCACATCTTTGTGAGCGTCAAGAATCTTCACTGGCTTTGAAAGAACAGCATCCTTGCTATCAAGGTTCCAGATCATTATCTGGAGCAAAAATAATAAAAAAAATCAGCCCTTTGCTGCCTCACACACCAGGCACTCTGTGTATTCTATTCATCTTTTCTCTACATGAATAGGTCTTACCATCATAAGTGATTGCTCTCCAGCACTTAAAATAATTCCTGATACTAACAGCAATGTATCAGTGTCAGCTAAGAATATCCAATATTTTAATTTTCTTTGCAATCACATTTTATACATAAAAGGAGACAATATCAGTGCAGATATATGCACTAGCACTAAGAAAAGTGAATGGGATTGCATGGTGTATCCAATTCAGTAAATGAGAAGTGCAGAGTAGACTGAAGTTCATCAGAAGACTGGAAAATTAGACAGTCGTTTCTAGCAATATCCTTTTGCCTTTGGGTCACCATGGAATTTCCCCCTAAAAAAAGCTTCCAAACTCTTTAGTACCATCTTACAGCTTGAAATTAAAACAAATTTCAAAACACTCAGCCAAACATGGTGTCCTAGGAGCACAGACCTACCTTGTAATCATAGCCAGAGCTGAAGAGAATGTTATCAGCCGTGGGATGCCATTCAATCAGACCAACTCTTCGAGCATGCCCAAGAAGTTCTTTCTTCGGAGTGGTAATGTTTCTTTTTAGCAACTGATTGGGGATGTCCCAGATTTTAACCTGAATGGCACAGTATGGGTCTTCGTGAGATTCCTGAGAAGGAGCTAATTTGGAATTTACCAATAGCTACTACCTGCCTTGCAATTACTATTCCCTTTGTAGTGAATAGGAATGCACCTGGCTTTTTTGAATGCCTGCCATTGTCATTTTTATCTTTACTTTTCTGTGGACCTGAAGACTCCTCTTTATGTTCTATCTTTAGACAGCAGTCCTATCAGGGTTTCTTTAAATTTGGCAATCCAACTGCTAGATCTGTCAGCAAAATTATGAAAAGTTATTCCCAAGAGGAAGAAGAATTGATATTGCAGACCTTGCCTCTTAACAAAGTTTGAGCAGGAGCCAGCAAATCTGAGTCCCAAAAGATATAATAATTCTATGATATTATAGCAGTGATTGATCCAAGCTCAATCCCTCTCCTGCTCTACTGGCCCTCTTCATCCTGGTCCTGCGGATCCATTCAGTGTCACCTGGCAGAAGAACTGAGAACTCCTCTGGCCAGGCGACAGCTGTAGAAATGTCTCACACACATTTCTACATCACATTTACATTTATTTCATCACTGTGCTAGTGCTGAACGTTTTGCAAATTTGTCAAAGTTCAGAGAACACCACGCAGGTGGCCTCAAAGCAGACACCCTGAGCAGAGACATGGGGCAGCACTGCACTGAAGCCACTCAGCACTGGGAGCATGCTGTCCTGCAACAGGCCCACCTACAGCTCTGGGTCTTTCTAGAAGGATGCTGCATGAAGACAAAAATGCTCTGTCCTCCTATGGTGGAAGAAAACAATAGAGGAAATCAGCAAGAGGGGCTGAACCTATGCAGGTATAAAAGGGGTCTTTCTCACACCAACCCTAGGAACACAAGTATTTAGGATGCTAACAGGTACTTCAGCTCAATGAAAATTATTATTCTTGTGTCATAATTTTTCTAGTTCTTAGCCTGAAGCAAAAATAAAATGCTCTTTGGAACACAGTTTGTGGAAATCAGCCACAGCTGCCCAAGTCTCCTGCTGTTTAGTTGATGAGGATAACTCCTTTCTATGACAAATAAGAAGCGGACTCAAATTCTGGGACCTCCTGGAAAACATCATAAGCACTCTTCTCAGTGTTTATCCCAATAAAGAATCAAGTCCACCAGAAACATAAAGACTATAGAGTCCAGCAGTATCCACATGAACTTCTACAGCAGTTAGAGAAAACATTACACTTTACATTCAGACCAACTGATTGTTTGCAGTTTTAACAGCTGTCACTAAAGAAATGGGGTTGAGAGAGTAGAAAAGGGAAAAACAGGTTGTGTTCATGCTGACAAGAACTGCCTAGAATGAGCCATCCACTCCTCATGCTGTTAAATGGTTGGTAATAAAAGCAGAGAAAAGCACCTCTGGAATCTCAGGCTGCATAAAATGGTAGAAATTGCCAGATCTTTGGCATGCAGAATAAGCAGGTCTTGGACTCAGGCCTGCAGGGCAAGCATGGACAATCCAAGCATGAACAAGCTGTCTACGCTACTACATCTTGAAGAAAGCCTGATAAAATGAAGAGAAAGGCAAAGAGTTGCCCCTCTAACCAGAGGGGAGCAGATCTTCAACAAGTTGAACTCTTCATGCCTGATGATTTGCCACCAAGAACAGAAGGGGTTAGAGGATAAGCTCAAACTCTCAGCCCCTAGCTATATGCATTGGCCTCAGTCCTTAGCCTGCCTGAAACAGCAGTGGAACTGGAACGTGGTGTTCAGAGAGAACTTACAATCCTTCCCATGCCCAAAAGTACCATTCTACATAACTCCAGCTATGCGCCACAAAAGATAGCTATAGTACTGCCAGATGAAAAATCGTCTGCACCTGGTGAGCTAACACAATGCCTATTCTTCAAAACCCACTGGCCTGTGGAACTGCACAATGCCTATTCTGTAAGAACTGGAAAGCAACCAGCCCAGTTGGGCCAACTTTTACCACTTGATCAGGCAGTCAAGTATGACTTTGGGAGTCACCGACCACCAGGGACAACCAAAGAGATTCCCAGGACAGAAGAACATATGTGTAAAAGGGAGAGAAAATATGTTACTGATTTGAGGGAAATTATTATTATATGTATGTTTGTTCGGGGAAGAATCAGTGACTATACATGTAAAATACAGTATCTAAACAGGAGTTTATTTTGTAGTCAGCATGCACAATATTTCAGAGGAGATATCCCATCATGCATCTGGCTGAATAAAGAATGTCTGCTTCTTAATGCTATGTTAATGTTAAGGAGTTTTTATTTCTACCGATTTTGGTAACAGTGGTACCACCAAGACAAGCTCCAGAAAGGCTGGTTAATGGTCAAGAAACCTCTGAGAAATGTGGGAAAAGTGAAATTTCCATAATCTACTCAGAAACTTGCAGCCTTCCTCAAAGGGAGACCCAGCCCAGTAAGCAATTAGATGCATCCTTGCATGCAAGTCTTACTTGCATTAGTGGCTTACTAATGCTCAGAAATGGGAGAGAACACCAGGCTTTTAACAACAGACTGGGACGAAGGCTTTTCCTCTCATGTCCAGCCCAATGGAACTGGTGGACACCTCTGTGACCCCCAAAAAACCTTTCTGAAGCTTCTCTTAAAACAGAGGAAATATTGCCATGAAGATGTCTCAACAGTATGTCCAATCTGAGCTCTCCAGAACAGGCCGGGTTAAAGTAAGATGCTGGCCCCACAGAACAAGTCCAAAACCAGACGTGAGACGAGGAGACAGTAGCACAGCAGATCTGAGTAGAGCTGGAAAGACAACAATCTGTTCAGTCTCTGGCTGCACTTCAACTACATAGCATGAAGGCACAGAGAAGATGAAGGCAAACTCTTTGAAGGTACACAAGGAGAGCATCAAGGCAATGGATGTTTATGGCAATATGGCAATACCTGGAGATCAGAGGCATTCCATTTTCCCTGGAAGGTTACTCAACTACTGGAAGAAGGACCTAGTGAGGCCACAGGATCTGTAGCCTTCGAGATCTTCCCAGCTCATCTGAACAAGTCCTGGAGCAACCCAATTCCCAAGCAGGGATTGCAGGAAGTGACCTCCAAGGTCAAGCTATGAGGTATCAGGAAAGACAGTCACACTAATAAACACAGTCTGCTGTCCTTGCTACTTAGCAGGCAGAGAGGAGACGTCTCTACACCATGTCACGGTGCAGAGGATACCATTTCCTGGTGCTAGGATGAAGATGGGAGAGTAGTAAAAAGAGAGTAGAGTCAAAACAGACAGACTTCTTGGAATAACTTTTGTACTGAGACCGGTGACACACTCCATGTTTCCGTTCTTTAGTCTGAGGAATGATCCAGTGTGAAGTTTCTGGAGAAAACTGGAAAGGAAACCTGGGGATAGCACATCCAATTTTGCACCCCCCAGTGCAAGAAAATGCTGATAAACTTGTGCGTCCAGGGGAGGCCACCAGGATGATCAGGAGTCTGCAGCACTTTGCCCTGTGAGTAGAAACTGAGGGAGATGGGCTTGCTTAGCCTGGAGAGCTAGCTTCTGCGTAAATTGATCAAAGTCTACAATACTTACAAGACTACTGAGAAAATAGAGCCAGGCTCTGTCTTGAAATGCAGGGTATGAGGATAGGATACAGCAGTCATTAACTACACTGGAAGGAAAAAAATTCCCCATGGGAGGAGTGAAGAACAGGAACAAGTTGCCTAGAGAGGGAGCGAAAGAAACCACCCAACCTCCCTTTCAACACAAATTCTTCAGTGATTCTGTAGCTGCAGTGAGATGTTTTGAAGATTGTGTTCATTTCTCATATAAGAATCAAAAGAGCGACCGAGGCTGTGCTCTCTCCCACAAGGAAGCCATGCCATGCCATGCCATACTTCCTGCGACAGCAAGAAACCTGGCATACAGGCTGGAAGATAAAATATTTACCATCTGTTCAGAAACTGAAAGAAGCCTTTAAAAAAAAAAGCCAAAGGAGTATCCAAACAAAGACAAGTCACTAAACAGGAAATACAATTCAAAAAGCACATAATCAAGAGTGACTTTTCAGCAGAACTAAAATGGCAGAGCATGTGAACCAAGCCAGGGCTGGAGAAAATGACAGGAGAAACCTCCCTGATTCTCTATGGAAGAGTGAGAATAAACCCAGTGAGATCTCATGGGGATGTCTGGAAAAAAAGCAGGGTAGTTAGTCAGATGTCCTCGCTATCAAAGATGTCAACATCACACTGTTTACAAGACCTTTAGAAAGTGACCTTCCAGGAGGTACATATGAGCTAAATTGTCCCTTAAAAATATGACTTGAATCTTTCAATTGCTATAGTGTCTGCATCCTAACCATGCTAACTTCAGCCAAAGCACCCATTGCAGAACTGTAGGTTGCATATTCCTCACCACAACTGATCCAGCACTGACATTAGAGAGCAACTGAGTGCAGGAACAAGCTCACACTCGCTCTGCGGGGAATTAATCTGAAAGAGCTGGTCCAGATAATGCTGTGTTGAAGCTTTTATTCTGAAGTAAAGACAGAGTTTCAAAGAGATTAAACTTGAATAGCCATTCTGTTTTAAACTCATATTTCGTTTTATCACACAAACACGCCAAGAAAAGGAACAAGCCCCTACAAAACAGATCTTCCCTATGACATTGATTTGATATATCATCTGGAAGGCACCACACAGGTCCGAACTCAGGAGAAAGAAAAGAATCTTACTCTTACCTGACTTCTTAAGTAAGTATATGCATGCTTTCACATCTTATCCATGAGCATTTGGTTTCTTTTAACTTCATTCTCCAAAAAGCACATTAGCCAGGTACTAACACAGAGTACAAGGTGGTAAACTTACTGTGGCATCTTCTGAACACGAAGCTATTACAAAGTCATTGAATGGGTTCCACTTGATGTCCAGAACATTTCCTTTGTGCCCACATACTTTGGGATAATGTGGGTCAAGCTTTCCTGTCTGGAAAACAAAATATCATCAAACCTAAGGTGAGCCATGGAATTAAAGAACATTTTCAAGGCAGCTCCAGAAGAAACTTTTTTCTGCTTGTTTTTCTCCAAATGCCCTGGATACTCTCTGTAAGGGTTTTTGATGTCCCTGCTAATCAAGTTTTGATGATACCACTGTAAAGAAAGAGAAGACTGTCCAGGCCTTCCTCAGTACATGCTGCTGTGAAAAAATTTCTGGGCATGTCTACATGTGTATTAGAAGACAGTATTAGATTCAGACACCAAAATGTAACTTCATGGAGAAACATCTATGAATGAGATGAATCTTGTATATTTTTTTAAAGATTTCTTGATGGGGACAAATAACAGCAAACTGTCCTTCAGAAGACATTTTCTACAAGCAGGAAAAAAAATTGTTTAAGTTTTGGGTTTAGCAAGAGGGTATTTGTAACACAAATAACAAATTACAAAACTTTTCTTTCAGCAGGCTATCTATTTCTCTCTGATGGTGTTCAAGTCCAGCTATTCACCAATATCAATCAGCATTCTGGACTCCCAAAAAAAAACAAACAAACAAACAAACCACGTTTAGGTAGCATCTGCACTGGTACAAATCCTGCACTAAGTGCCCTAAGGTGTATTGAGATCCTTGTGCCACATGGGGGCTGTGCTGCATTGAATAAACCCACACTGCCGGCATGGTCTCTGCTATAAAGTCGCGTCTGAATATTAAAATGGTAGAAGCGGTGGTGGTGATTTTATTAACATCGAAGCAACACTTGCTTCTCTCTGTAAGAAGAAGGAGCAGTATGGGGAGCCCCCTGAAGCACCGCAGGCATCAGTTACAGAGCCAAAATCAGTCACCTAAGAAGGGAGGCATGATGGCAAGCTGGTGGTGCTTACCAGCTTACTGCTTCCTATCTGGAAGAACTGTAGACCAAAATGATTGCAAATGTGTGCCCTCCTAGAAAGCAGACACTTCTTTAGATGTACTACTCCCTACCCCTCTCCACAGGTGGGCCTTGGGAGAACAGAGCTGAGGGGAATCACTGCTGTCCCTAATCATGCTGTGGATAGTATATAATTTTCCCAGCTTTTAAATTTTGGGGGGGTTTTTGCAGTTTTGAATACAGAACAGGACACAATGTGTAACTATTTTGGCTTCACTGGAAAGTTTGTTGCATAAACTGAGACTAACCTGCTTTAAACTGAGCATCCAAAGGGCTTTGAAATGTAAAAGACTCTGTTTTTTTAAACTACAGTCTAAAACAATTCCCTTTTATAACAGCGACAATGCAAAGAGATTTAGGAAGGCAGAAGAGAGATAAAAGGCCTTCAATAAGAAGCACTCCTCCACCCACAGTGTCCTTCACAGTGGCTTCAGAACTTGGTTTCAAGGTGACAACTAAAAGGGGTGGACAGCTAGATCCACAAGGATCCCTTGATCCTTAAGGGAACTCTGTCCCCTCCCAGAGCTAGTTGCCTGTCTGCTCTCCACTCCATTTTGGGAGACTCCCAGTCTGTCCTAAGCCCGTTTTGCCTGACCCATCCTTCAAAGCTCTCTTACTCCACTTCCACTTTCCTAACGGGCTTTGGAAAAGGAGCCCTTGTTCTCCCGGCCACCAGTCTCACCTGCCCCACTGCAAGTCCAGGGACAGAGCAGGACTCACCACACATGAACCCCCCAAGAGCCAACAAACATACATGGCATAAAGCTAGAGCTGCTGGTCTCAGATGCACATCTGCATGTGTTAGTGAAGATCTTCATTGCTGGAGGAAAATTCATTTTACAGATCAAAAACTATTTCAGTAAGTAGATGTGTTGTCCTTCCATGAAGTGGTACCTGATTTCCACAGCTGCCTGCAAAGCTTGAAAAAGAGCAGTTTTTCAACCACACCCTTGCTAAAATTCTAGCATTTCTGAAAAGCTTGGAGCTCGCTGACAAAAGTCACTTCTAGTAGAACATCTGTCAAAACTCTTACAGCAAGGTAGATGACTGTGAGATAGTCAGCCCCACCTCTACCCCTAAAGAGCACCAGCACAGCGCTCACATACGTGTCAGTTACCCAAGGCCAGAGGGGTCATCATCAGTTTCATTTTACAGTCCATGTTCCCAGAGGGAACGGAGGGGAGTTTGTGTCTAGGAGGTTTGCACAGTCACAGATGTCCTCCCTTTCACACCTGGTGCTGACACATTGAAAGACTGGAGATTGCAGACCTGGGCACAAACAATCTCCTGTTTCTTGGGACCTGTTCTCCCTCTCCTTTTGCTGCAGAGGAAGAGACAGACACAGTCTCAATTGAGTCTGGTCATCAGCAAAGGAAAAAGGCAGGACTTCATCTCTCAAAGGAAGGCAACAAAATTTCCCTCCCAGTCAAGATCTTTCCTTGGCATGCTCTGCATGCACGTCCCCAGCACATCTACACCCAGGCCACACTGTGGGAAAGCAGTTGATCTCTCAGTTACAGTCACTGAGCTCATGTCTCCTTGAACTTGCAAAATTTAGTCAGTCAGTCAGTCAGTCAGCCTGTCCCGGGCACCAGGCAGCCCCTGTGGCCACAGCCCCTTCACCCTCCGTTGAGATGCGCTGCCCTTCCATCCAGCTGGTTTCAGTGGCACATATTTACCAGGATGTCACTGACACACCCTGCAACTGCAACAGACCATTTCCAAAGTGATGGCAAATATTCAACTAATTTCTGGTAAGGCTGAATGCAAAGGCCCACTGAAAGGATGGTATCTAGGGCAAAGAACTCGTGCTCTACATAACCCCCGCTGTCCCCAGCCCTACCTCACCCCCAGGCTCTCGGAGAAGACTGGTGGAGAAGGAAAGAAGTGCTATTTATTCAAAGAGAGATGAGAGAGCTTGGTGTCTATGACTCAGCAGCAGAGGAGTACAACAAAAAAGCAGTTAAACAGAGCAAAGCTGAGGCTTCATTCAAGGACATCCTTAGACAAGTAGCCCCTCTAGTAGTAACACATGCAGAATGAACTAAAGAAAGCATTGTAGGGAGGGACAAGAACAGCTCCTTGAACAGGTTGTTCATCCTCCTCAGCAAGTGCAACCCTCCTTGTCCTGGCTACTATCTCTCGCTTTGACCAAATGTGTGATATCCTGGCTCTTGGTCTCTTTCTCCACACTTTGTCACACTTGGGATGTGTCTGTTTCCCACGAATCCAGTCAAAAGTAACCACTGTCAGCTCTCCATTTTAAGAGGGCAATACGGTCCCAGACACGTCTCCAGAACAGGTTGTCTTTGATGCCATGGCAGCTAAGGGCACAAGCCAAGTGTCCAGTACACTGTCTGCCATGGCTTACCTTCTTCAGAGGGAGATAGCAGCCACAAAAAACACACCATCAGAAGCACAAGTCAAAAGTTTCTGCTTTGCACTAGATGGTACCACTTTGGAAGTGTATCACAGAAAAAGTAGCTGGTATGGCAGGTCCTGACTCAGGGAATCCCTTTCTTTGGGTGGCTGAGGCTGCTTTACCCCCCAGCATGGGTCAGGAACTGCTATTCAGAGAATAGCTATGTGAAACACCTAACTTCCCTGACACACAACAAAAGGTTAACCATCAAGGGACCAACTCCTCTCCATAGCTCCATTTTGAAGCCATTCATTCTTCCAAACTCATCAGCATCCAGAACAGAGAGCCCGGCATGTGAACTGCAGCACCATTTACATCTGCTGCTCACAGTCTGCTCCCTAGACTCCAGAATCCTCTTCACCAAACAAATCAAGAAAAGTTGCTCCTTAAACTTCTTCTCCTCACAGCTTTATGCATCTTGCACATTTGCCTTTTTTGCCAGACTGATTGAGGCCTGACGTGCAAAGCCTTTCCTCACATGAAAGTACTTTCATATTTTCATTGACATACTTTAATTATCCTTTTCTGTATCTTTTTAGTTCTACCATGCCTTTGATTTCTGCATGCAATATTTCAGAACTGGGTGGAGTATCTGAGCAGGTGTAAGAAGGAAAAATTACTACAAAGGCTAGCCAAGCTGAAAAGAGGTGAGAAGACAAAAATTAATAGTAAGCAGTGCAAGCACCTTCAGCTACTTTTGCCAGCACTTTGAGAGCTTGGTCCCACATCCCACAGTCAACAGCTGTCTGCCTACAGATGCAATTCTGTGATAAAGACAAATTCTTGAGCCTCAACAGACTGTCATTATGGGGGCAGAAGTGACTCAGTCAAGAAAAACAGGGTAGTGGTTAATTTTAGAAGGACAGTCTCTAAACAGCACCAGCATTGAAGGAATGAATTAACAAAGTCCAGAAGAGCCGGAAACTGTGCTAGGTTCTTCAAGCACAACCAGTTCACTTTCATCCTTAGCAAATATATATTGAAAAAGTGGCATTGCAATAACACCATCAATTAACTTTTAATTAAAGGCTGAACTTTTGCCTTTCATCTGTTCTGTCCTGATTCCAGAGAGATCATAATCTCATACTGAAGTTAATCCACATCAGTGCATGCCTAATTTTACTGAAGCAATAAACATCAGTCGGCCAGCTTCTCCCTCTCATCAGATCCTAAGTCATCAAAACTCATACACATGGTATTTGTTTCTGGAAGGGAAGTCTTCACAGCATCAATGCTTGAAGTTTAAGAGATTCATTGCCTGATAACTGTGTCTCCATTCTTTCACAAAGGAGACAGTAGAACAAAACATACCACATTCTCCTTTGGTCACAGCTGAATCCATACCGCTAAAGCATCTTTCTGGTTTTGTCCTCTGTATCCACTAAATACTTTTTAATTTGCTGTTTCTCCCAGGAGACAAACATCTGAACAGCACATTATGCTGATTATACAAGAAAGGCAAATCAGTTGTAAAATGAAGCAAGGTGTTGAAAATCTGCAAGCAGAAATGCAAGACATAAATATACACATGCCAGGAGTCACCTGCTAGGGCAACTAGGGCCTCTTCCATCATTTTACAATTTGCATCATGAACTGAATATCCTCGGCGATCTAGCCACCTAGAAAGCCTGTCCCTCCTGCAGCCTCTTGATGTGCTCTGGAAAGCCAGCTCTCCTTGGGGAGCTCACCTGCTTGATGGGGATGACGAGGAAGGCGCCGCCGCCCGCGCACTCGGTGACCACGGCAATGAAGCTGGGGTTCACGGCACAGAAGTGGTTGTCGTGGACGTTGCGGGTGATGGGCACGCAGTCGTAGCACTTATCCTTGCCGGCAGCTTTGCCATACACGTGGCGGAACTTGGAGCTGCGGTACTGTGGGTGCCACGACATCTGCAGGGACAGAAACACAACGTCCCAAGGCATAAGGACAGGCCGTCCTGGCAAGGCTTGCAGAACCTCACTCCCCTCTCCCCACCACAGGCTCACCTTCCCTACCTGGGCTGCTCACACCAAGCCTCAGCTAGCAAGCTAAAGATGCAGTCTTCTCTGGTGTATACCCTTTGCCATAACCCTGTTGCACATCTCTGATGGAGAGAGGAGAGTGTGGGGAAGGAATGGCAGCTATCAGCATCACCAGCCAGCTGGGCTGTGCATGTGCCAGTAGTCCCTATCGCAGAGGCAGGGCCACATGGCAGCAAGTTTAAGAGGAGAAGAGTTCTGGTATGATAGAGCTCAGAAAGCATGAAAAATACAACATCTTGGATAAGCATGAAAGAGTGAGTGAAAAACTAATCTGGATACATGCTTTGTTTAGGTGGTTCAGGTGGTTTAGGACCAAAACTTATTCTAAATTTTGCTCACATGAAACGGAAAAAAGAAGTTTGACAGATCATAGGAATAGTTACAGTCACCTGTTGATATTTTTTCCACAGAAAATTATGTTCTGCTACAGCCCTCTGACAGACAGCATTTTAAATGGTGTTTACATAAAGCATCCTAAACACAAGAATCACAGAGAGCAGTGAGGCTTAATGGAGCTGATGCAACTGACTTCATAAAATCGTAAAGTTACAGAGTCATAAAATGGTTTTGGGTTGGAAGGAACCTTGAAGATCTTCTAATTCCAACCCCCCTGACATGGGCAGGGGCACTTCACACTAGACCAAGCTGCTGAAGTCCTTATCCAAACCAGCCTCAAACACTGCCAGAGATGGGGCATCCACAGCTTTTTTAGGCAACCTGTTCCAGTATCTCACCACCCTCACAGTAAAGAATATCTAATCCAAGTTTCCCTTCTTTTAGTTTGTGCGCATTAATCCTTGTCCTACCACTACACTTCCTGATGAAGAGTTATTCTCTACCTTCCCTGTAGAGCCCTTCAGATATTGGAAGATGGCTATGAGGTTTCCCCGGCAGCCTTCTCTTCTCCAGGCTGAACAGGCTCAACTTTCTCAGTTTGTCTTCACAAGGGAGGTGCTCTAGTCCTTTCAACAACTTCATAGCCCTCCTCAGGACTCACTCCAGCAGTTCCAGGTCATTATTATGCTGGGGGCACCAAAACTGTATGCACTGTTCCAGGTGGGGTCTCACAAGAGCAGAGGAGTAGAACCATGTCCTTCAAGTGGCTATTTTTAAATAGGAAACTATCAGTGTTGGTCAGAAAATGCAATTAAGGCTATTAAATCCAGATCCCACAAGATTTAGAGAGCAAAAGGCATACAGTGAGTGTGGTGAGAAGATTCTGCTGCCCAGATGAAAAGAAATGCAGATCAGGCAGGAAGATAATGGGTGAAAGAGCACCTCACAAAACAGCTGGGAATATAGGCAAATACTGGCAGAGGGCATGGTTTTGCCCCATCATGACCTCTTTAATGTGCTTTTGGTGAACAGTATTATCAGTGATGCTGGACCAACAATACTCCAATTTGACAAGAAAACCCAACCAAGTAGCTTTTGAGCTACAGCAAGGCTTAGACTGCCTCTGACAGGCAGAGGTCTAAGCAATTCTAAACCAAAACGTCCATGTTGCTGGCATGGTATTGCAGCCTCTTGTAATGACTATCAAAGGCTAAGAAACTGGGCAGTAAAACTGGAGCTTTACAAGCTCTCATCAATACAAAGATCCACATAGTTCACATCCTGTGTCACACTGGAAGATTTGGACTGTACTAGGACTAACAGTACTAGGACTCAACTTGCATCCTATTTCCTGCCTCCTCCCAAATCTACTGACAGCTCAGAGCCAACTCCACCTTGGGCAAATACACATGCCTGTAACAGTCCTTGGCAGATCACCAGTTACTTTCATAGTCATCTTTTATAGTCATAGTCAACTGTGCCAAACAAAAATGAAGAAATCCAAGTTATTTGAAAAAGAAAACAGCAATCCTGCAAGCTGATCTACACAGGCAAAAAGCAAGCTGAGGTTATATGCAACTGGCTAGCTCCCAAAATAGCCCCAGAGGTGCAGTGTTCTCACACAATTTCATGCTCATTACAGTTTTAGTGGTTAGGTTTACTCACACCAGGAGCGGGGGGCAGAATCACTGCATTGTCCAGATGAAGCAGTATGCAGCAGTTGCTTCTTACAGCAGGACTATTTTCTTTCCAAAAGGAACTAAATTCCCTGGCTGCAAGGTAATTCTAGCCACACTGCTCTTGAGTTGGGAGAGAGTGTGTGGTCTGAAGTTTCAAGCCTCTTCTGGAGAAAGGAGTCACCAAGCACACAGGAGCAATTATTGAGAAAGTCAGGACTCTTCACCCAGAGAAGCTCAGAAGGATCTTATCAACGCACACCAATTCCTTAGAAGAGGTACTAGAGAAGACAGAATCAGACTCTCCTCAGCAGTGCCCAGCAACTGGACAAGAAACAATGGGTACAAACTGGAACTCAGAAAACCCCATTTATATGCAATGAAACACTTTTTCTCTGTGAAAGTTGTCCAACACTGGCACAGGTTGCCCATAACATTATGGAGTCTCCATCCTTGGACGTATGGTCCTGGGCAACTGAGCCTGCTTTGAGAAGAAGGGTTGGACTAGATGATCTCAAGGGATCACTTCCAACCTCAACTGTTCTGTAATCCTGTGATTTTAGGGCCTCTGGATCTCAGCCATGTGTATCTTGTACGGCCCTAAAAATGCCACTGCCAACACACCAAGATGCACACCCATACAGGCAGACTTTCAACCCAATAAATCTGAAGTGTGCCTTGCAGGCTCAGCTTTCTCACCTGTTCCTCTGATGGGAAGTGATGACAACACATTTCTTCCTCATTCATAAAAACTGCTGTTTGGATAGGCAACCACTTTAAAAAAAGTGCAAAGAGCAACTGGTATAAGGAATGGGGGGGAGAGGGGAGAAAGTGATGGAAAAATACCAATATTTTGTCAGTAAGACAGGATTGCTTTTACATTGCAAAAACTGGTACTATTATATCCAAATAATTAAAAGGCATATTTGTGCATTTTATAATGTCTGAAAATTAAATGCTCTCAGGGACCAAATGCTGGGACCTTGTGGTTTTCATTACCACCTCTCCCAGCAAAGAACATTAAGATCTTTTCCCAAAGCTGCAAAGAGTTCCTGGAGAAGGATACAAAGATCCCTACAAGCACTTCTCAGATCTCTGCTTACCAGGTTGGATACCAGCTTTTTCAGGCTGGACAGGGTTTCCAGACAGCTTCTGCCTATTGAAATGTGCAACCCTAGAACTGGAACTAGAACTATCTCCTGATTGAATATGTAGTACTTCACACAAAATAAAGTACAGCCATTTGCTTCAGAATTCCTCACTGCTGGCATTAAGAGAGGAAGTAGCTCCTCTGCCTCAGTAAGCAGGGTAATACAACTACAAATGATATGGCAAGGACACACGGTTTAAAATTATTTTTCTAGCCTCTCACTGTAGGCATTCCTGGGTCTTGACTCTGAAAGAATGATGTAACATGGACTACTCTGAGACACAGATCTGACTGTGAGGAGAGTCTCAACTACAGAGCATGAAAGCTTGATGCAGCAAGTGCAGTCAGCAACAGGTCATGGAAGGAAGAGCAGAAGGGAATCAACCAAGAATCTGTTGCTTCGTTATCTTTTCTTTTTTTAAGACAGAGCTCAGCAGTTAAGTCTGAAATTATGAGATAAAAAAGCAAAGCCATAGCAAATCTCAGACTGGTGCTCAGAACAGGTGGGAATTTTCTTTCTGGCACCTGAAAGGGTGCCTAGAAAACCACTAAGGTATTTTGAAACGCTCAAGCACAGCCTACTCAGATCTTTGGTGCTTACCAAACATGACCATCAAAATGGTTGTGTGATCTCCAGAGAACATGCAAGTAAAGACTGAGACTCCAGTTCTGTCACTTGTCTTCAGAAATACAATGCAGTAGTACTGAAGGGACTTTGTTCTGCTTTAGTTCTCATTCTTTTACCTGGCTGTTTATGAAGTTAGCTTTTCGTGACTCACGTGCAAAACATGACTGCAAATGTCTTAGCTCTTGCCAAAGGAGTAATCTCCTAGAAGAGTTGTGAAGCCTAGGGATGTCTGCAGCACTTCAATATGTTCTTAGGAGAGCAATGCTGTGGTGTATTTACTACTCCTGAGGAAATGTCAGACCAAACAAACAGGCATACGCCTGTACTGAATATGACTGAACACGTGCTTCACCATAGGCCAGCATGTTCCCAATTTTCCTGTTGCATCCCACTTACCCCAGGATTACAGATTTGCCTGCACCATTGTATTGGTTTTTCATGGCCTGGTTTTGGTAACAAGGGACTAGAGGGGTGGCTTCTGTGAGAAGGTGCTGGAAGCTTCTTCCATGCCCAGCAGAGCCAATCCCTGATGGCTCCAGATAGATGTGCTGCTGGCCAAGGCTGGGCCAATTCAAAATGATGGTAACACTTGTGTGATAAGAGATTTAAGAACTCAAAACTAACAGGGCTTGTGCAGTTGTAAATGCATCAGAGAAGAGCGGAGTGAGAACATGAGAGAACAACAACTCTGCAGACACCAAGGTCAGTGGAGAAGGAGGGGCAGGAGGTGCTCCAGGCACTGCAGCCCCTGGTACAGCAGCTGTGCCCCTGCAGCCCATGGGGATCCATGGGGATGCAGAGACCCACCCACAGCCCTTGGGGGTCCACAGGGGATGCAGAGATTCACTTGCATCCCATGGAGGAGCCCCATGCTGGATGCCTGGAGGAGGCTGTGACACTGTGGGAGACCCATGGAGAGAGGTGCCCTGCTCCTAGGCTGGAGCAGCCTGTCCTTGGAGGACTGCACTCGATGGAAGAATGACCCACACCACAGCAGTTTGAGGGGACCTGGTGCCCATGAGATGGAGCCACATTAGAGAAGCTCATGGAGAACTGTCTCCCACGCGAGGGACCCCAGGGTGCAGCAGGAGAACAACTCCTCTCCCTAAGCACTGGGAGAGCCTCGAACTGACCATAATCCCCTTCCCTGTCTCCTCGTACTGCTGGGGAAGGAGGGAGAGGTGTGGGGAGGGTATTCTTAAGGATGTATTTTACTTCTCATTATCCTGCTCTGATTTTGTAAGTAATAAATTCACTTTGTATCTCTAAGTTGAGTCTGTTTTGCCCAAGATGTGATTTGATGAATGACCACTCCCCATTCCTTAATCTCAACCCAGGAACTCTTCATTAAATTTTCTTTCCTCTGTCCAGCTGCAGAGAGGAGGGAGTGAGCAGCTTTGGTGGGTGCCTGGCATCTGGCCTGGGTCAACCCACTACAACCATGCATGACATTTGTGAATTCTGGATGAATTTATCTTGGTCCTGGATAAAATAACCACATGTAAAAAGTGAAATATGTGGAGGAAACCCAGACATATAGTCGCTTAATCCAGATCAAACTGAGAGTACCCTCTACTCTGGCACCAGTGTTTTGTGAAAGACTCTCAGCAGCAGAGTCAGCCCCAATA